AAAATACCTAAAGCATACCATGAGTGCTTTATGTGCTTTGCAGCTCCGATGCATATTGGGAACCATAGTCTATCACTCCATTCCCATTGTACAGTACATCGATCCTTTCGCAGCCTCTATTAGATAGTTAAGTAATAGCAGCTCTCTACTGGACATGGATAATGCTCACCTTCTCTTTAACTGCCATGACTACGGAATCATAAGAGTTGTAGTTAAGTAAGTAATTGGTTTGAACATGTTTTTAATTATTTGGCTTTAATGTATATGTTTGGTTTTATCCGATGTGTGTATATATAGTATCAAATTGTGCCTTTTTGTGAGCTGCTCTGAGTCCCATTTGGGGTGAAAAAGATGAGATATAAATGCAGTAAATCTATATAAATAAAAATGTAATGTTCATTTGTGGGATTAACATAACTCAAAAACCACTGGACTAATTCACGCCAAATTTGGACAGAATACACCTGACAACCCAATGAGTGACCATCACTCAAGAAACACACCAAAAAAGTGAAAGGGACTTTAAATCCCAAACATGATAAAACAAGGTACAGCACATGCATGAAAACTACTCTGACCCTGCCCCCTACACTAGGGGGAAAAAACAAACGGCTTCAGTGAGCATGGAAGGTTCCAGTGGGCTGGGCAGGCAGACTTTCAGCTTCCCCAGGCCCCTGATTTGGGATTTGCCCCCTCTCTCTCCCACCCACCACTCCCATGGGGCCCTTCCTTCCTTCCCTTTGGGCCTACCCTCCTCCACCACACCAGGGCCTTGGGTGGGCCCTCTTTACCTCCCTCCCAGTCTCCTCCCACCAAACAGGGACCCCTTCTCTTTCTTTTCCCACTGATGGGGTGGGCAGGTGGCTGCTCTGTGGCACCACTCGCCAGGCTTCTCCTTCCCTTGCCTGGGTGCTGACAGGAAGGGAGCCTTGCAGCCCTCAGCCTTGCTGGGCCTGTCATGGGATGGGAGGAACTTTTTGAGATGGGCCTTGCTTGCCCAGCACCAGGCCCTTCTTTTTGCAGGGCACCTTTCATGCAATCCTGCTTGCATGCCCACCCGCCAAACAGGTGGGAAGGTGTCCTGCAGCCACGGCAGAAAAGAGAAGGAACCAGCATTAGGTGAGCGAGGCCCACCTCGAAAAGCGCATCCCACCACCCCATGCCGGGCTCAACAAGGCCGAGGGCTGCAAGGCTCCCTTTCTGCCAGTGCTCAGGCAAGGGAAGGAGAAGAAAGGAAGGAGAGAAGGATAGAAAAAAGGGAAAGAAGGAAAGAGGGAGGGAAGAAAGGAGAGAAAGAAAGGGGGAGGGAAAGAAATAAAAGAAAGAGAGAAGGAAAGAGAGATGGAAAGAAAAAAAGGGAACGAAGGAAGGAAAGAGGGAGGGAAGGAAGGAAGGAGAGAAAGAAAGAAGGCAAGAAAGAGGGAGGGAAGGTTGGCCACAGCAATGTGTGGTGGGTACAGCTAGTGAATAAATAAATAAATAAATAAATAGTTTTACAATATCCTTAGATTTCTCTTCTGGTGCATCACCAAACTACAATTCTCAGGACTCCATAGCCTTAAGTCATGACAAAGTGATGTCACGCTGCATTAATTCTACAGATGCACTCATACTCAGATTTACCATGTTATCACACCAGGACTTTACAGCAGACAGCCCTGCATTTCTGTCACCTGCAGAATTTTGGGAAATGTAGTTTAGGGTGGGGCCTTTTGCATTCTCAGCTACAGAGGATCTTGCCTTCCCAAACTACATTTCCCAGAATTCTGCAGGTGGTGGAAATTTCACACCTCAGGGCTTTAAAGGCCTGGTGTGAAAACAAAGTCATCAAGTGATAGCACAAATTTGTAATTGAGATGAACTGGAAGCAAACATGCCCATACATAATCATTACCCTAAAGAACTATGTATATGTGGGGCTTTTTAGACTGTAAGGAAGCTCTTGAAAGATGTATTGTGATGACTGAAACCATAAAATTTGAGTCAACATGTACACTCTGTAGAAATTACCTACATCATAGTATTTGGAGCATATGCACTCAAGTGAACAAAAGGGAAAGAAAATTATGTAACTGAAATGGAATTGTTGTTGTTGTTGTTGATGATGATTTCCCACCTTTATAGTAGCCTTCAAGGAAGAGGAAAGAAAAGCATCCACATGAAAGGACCAAGTTAGTGTTTCTGAACATTCTGGAAGCATATGGTTTACGTGTGAAAATATATTACCGTATTAATGTCCTAAAACCTCCAACATATGCATACAAGATCTCACTGCTAAATCTGAAACTCCTATTTTTAAATTCTCCCAAAGGCTTTAATAGTTTAATTAAAATGATATAAAATCATTCTAAATATTAACCTCTAAAATGAAGCCGATCTCCAGCATAAGTATTCCCACTGGCAATGCTGATACAGTATTCAAGAAACAGAAATGAATCTAAATGAAAAATGTATAGTTTAATGCACTATGGAATTCCTCAGTGACAATGAAGCAACTAATACAGAGGCTCAGGAGGGCCTCACCATTGCCCTCCTCAAGGCACCACCAACAGGCACGGGGGGGGGGGGGGTCATCATTGCCCTCTAGCAGGCCACCGCAGCTCCCGTTGATTTGTTCATTTAGGCAATGAATGTTTGCCACCTTGCTACTTTTGTCTGTAAACCACCCTGAGTTTCTTTGGGAAGATAAAGTGGATTATTATTATTATTATTATTATTATTTGAAACACAACAAGATTAGAACACAGCAAACAAGGTCACTCTGCTGTCTGTTGTACTGGATCACATGTCGGACACTTCCCAAGGGTCTAGGACTGTGTGATGTATCAGCGAATAATGCATGCAGATCCCAGTAGAGTGGCCTTTTGCAGCTGACAGATGGTAATTTTGTCAGCGCTGATTATGTTTAAGTGCAGGTCAAGGTCTTTAGGCACTTCACCCAGTGTGCCGATCACCACTGGGACCACCTTTACTGGCTTGTGCCAGAGTCTTTGCAGTTCACTCTTTAAATCCTCATATCATGTCAGCTTTTCCAGTTATTTTTCTTCAATCCTGCTGTTGCTTGGGATTATTATTATTATTATTATTATTATTATTAGCTAAACTGGTTTGATATCTTGAAATTTTACAACTAACTTAGTCCTGCACAGCCTGTAATTATGCTGTATTCTTGTCATATGCCATGATAACATGGCTCAATAAACCATGTTTTGCCACTGTGAAGGGCTGCAAATATAGGCCACATAGCTGGTGGACCATTCAGCATTGCGGAGCATTTCTAAAGCAGTCCTCGTGAAGTACTATTAGTAATAGTAGTTATTATTGTTACCATTATTATTATACAAGGAGGGGCAGAATTCTTGTCCTCCACCCTTTCCTTCACCCTCTACCAATGGAAAACATCTCAATCAAGATATTTATATTGGCTTGTGGGAGGGACTGGGGAGCTAAAACAGAGGCTTGAATCTGGTCTGAACCCAGTCTCCTGTGCCCCTCTCAACTGTCATCACAGGGCATCATGCCTACTTTTCTTGCTTCTGTATTCTTCCTTCGGGCATATTTTTTCCCACAACTTTGGGCAGATATTTTTAGAGACCCAACTGGTGGAAAATGTAACACAGATCAGATCCAACTGGAGATCCGATATGGCACCCTGGGTATGGATGACTACAGTCATTCCCAGCTTGAAGGCAGATGGTCTACCTAACCCCCAGGTGGCAAGGGAAAATTGCAATGAATTACACCAATGTCTATTCTTCTAATGATATACCTAGCAGGCAGACTTTGTTTCCTTAGTCAGTAGGTGGGTTGGATAATTGGTTTCCATTGTTTGACTGATGCTTGGATCCAGAACCATGATTGAGCCAAACCTTAAAGCTATAACCAATAAAGACTAGTGGACTCTTTATCTCAGCAAATGTGATTTGTGCCATTATTGTAAAGTAGAGCCTTAATCACCACTGAACCCTCAAAAGAGATATTGTAAAGACAGAAGGAATTCACAAAGGACCTAGATCCAGGGGAAGGTGTATCGAGGACTGATAAAGGAGTATGGCAGAGGAAAGGGTGCTAGGAACAAAGAAAGTCATTTCCCTGGTGTCTACTTTTCTCTGTGCTGAAATTCAGGAGGGAGAACAAAGGAATGTTTGACCCCTTCTATCTTCATTCTGACATACTGATCATCCAAAAGTTTATCACTTTAATAATAACTAAGTCTCAGTGTTTCCCTGAGAAGCCATAATGAAACATTGACATAGAAAAGAAGGCAGTGAAGGTCAGGTAATTTCCAAAGCCAATATAAACAGAACAACAACATTAATATGGACAGTGAGAGAATATGGCTCAGGCTAGATCTGGCTTGTTGGGTAAGCCATCCTCTGGAGCAGAAAATCACAGATCAAGCTTTGCCCATTACTCCATCTCCATATAAAGGAAGCCATTTCCTGTTAAATAGCAACCTCTTAAGTGCCAGAAAGAAGTTGGTAGCCTGGTTTTATACCTCTAGCCCTGGGATGCATTTTCTGTCAGCTTACTTCAAAATCCTAGAATTTTTTAAAAAAGGAATTGATATTGACAAAAGTGCTATATCAGTTATGTAATTGAATCCAGTATGAATGAAATTACCCACATGTGTACTCTTACATAAATACATTCCATACTTCATTTTACACTGATGTGCTTTTATACTTGAAACTCTGATAAAGCTCACACACCCAAAAGTCTGCAAATTGATGCTGTCACCAAAAGATGATGGACTGATTCAATTAAGCAGAGCGTAGTTTGAAATGTTCTGCTGGGAATTTCTTACTAAAGCCATATACTCCTTAGGCTCTCTTTAAGGGCTTGCATCCTGTCATTTTTCTTCATTATTCTTGCATTCATTCATAAATACTTGGGATAATATTCTCTTCTTAAAGGATAGCACAAAATGAGCAGTAATGCTCATAGTTAATAACTTGTCATTGTGCCTAGAACATATAATTCTTTTTTTCATCTTGCATTGATATATATTTTAAAAAATATTGCCTAGCATTCTGCATTTCAGTTACAGATTTGCAACCTAGAATTATGGATCTGTAAGAGCTATGCAAATATTCACAATTACTATGATCACAAAAGCTCTCTGGCACCCACCTTAAACTGCAGGGAGTCCCTCTGAACTATGCAGCATGGTTGAGTGGAGCACTCCAGGATGATGTGGCCAGACCCTCCTGTCCCCAAGCACTGAGGTGAAAAAGTTAAACAATCCACCACCCTGGACGTCTGTCACTTGAAGTGGGTGCTTTAAATTTCAACCTAGGTACAGCAAGGCATAAGGTTCATCAGCTGAAGTTTAATTTCATTAACAATATATTCAACGACTTTAGAAAATTTCAAATAAGTATAAATGATTAATCAAATCACCTATATTAAAGACCAGTCTATGAAGGCATTTTGGTATTTTACTTGGAACAAATTTTAAAATATCTAGTTCCAAAAATGTATTTAAATCCAAACTTAGGCATTTTAACTACATCATAAGTAATTACTTAGCCCGTTTATTGTTCTTTGAGTTAGTAGCAAAATATCAGATTACTAGAGTCAAGTACATGGATGGAAAGCTATTACAAGGGACAAATGACACTGAGGTGAGTAGACCAGAGGAGTTGAATGCAGGGGACCTAAAATGGGTATCAAGAATCAATTTGGGAATTTAATCAATTTATCTTAAATGTGGAAATGTGGGTTGGAATCCTATTGGGTCATGACTGCATTCGTGAGTGCTTCATTTTCTCAATCCCTACCTATGCCCTAGTTTAGGGGCGCACAGAGACTATGAAAGTCCCACACATCCCATTTATGGGGGCTGCAGCCACTGCTATCAACAGGTGTTTGTTCCTGTTGACCAGAAAGTGATGGCATTTTCATGCATACCTTCGTGTGAGGGATCTTTGGTGTGAGAGGATTGGAACACGGTCCTCTTTCTGTCTGTCACGATGGAGAAAAAATTACCAAAGGAGTGGGAACATTAGTCAGCTGCTTCCCAAGAAACAGGGGAACAGATTCTGATTGACTTCAGTGGCGGCTGATTGGGAATCAGGCCAGGATTCATTACATAGCTATGGAAGTATGGCATGATGATGATGATGATGATGATGATGATGATGATGATGATGATGACGACGACAACGACAACAATGGGGAAAGGTGGGGTATACATTTCATAAATAAATAAATAAATAAAATGATTTATTGCTTGTTTCTCCCAAAGGAGATCAATGTAGTATGTAGAGGATTCTGGCCATTTAAATAAGAGGTCTTGATGATTATTTAATTTTATGTTGGATTCATGCTTAAGCATCTGATCAGACAAACAGCCAGCTTGCTTCCAAAGGAAAACATGCCCTTTTGCCATTTCTTTGGCAAAGCAGCATGTGCCCAATGCAGTTGTGAAGCAAAACAATGAATCCTCAATCTATCTCTATGGATGTGGGGATGAAGAAATTTGAAGCACGCCATGGGCAGGCAGGAGTTAGGTTGCTGGATCAAGACTATCCCAGGCTCAGAGACTTCTGGACCAAATCTTGAGATCTAGGGACCCCCTACCCCAAGATGTCACAGGAAAGTAGACCTGGTGATGTTATTAAATATGACACATTAAGCATCAGTCGCAGCTGAACAGAGTATAACATTCTTTTTTTAAAAAAAAGTCTAATATCAAGTTTAACACATACAAGTACACAAACATATTTTTCAAGGCAATGCTCTCAACCTATTTTTCCCCCTTTGAAACTAGAAAAGAAAGTCATCAGAATCAAGGCCAGATCCTAAGATTTCATAACCCTAGATAGACAATAGAGAAGGTACATGTACATACACATTGTAATGTCCAGCTATTTTTCTTCCAACTTTACTCCAAGTCTAATGGAAATCCTTGAATGTTATCTTTTTCTTTATTAATTGCCATTATGTATGTGTTGTAAAGGATATAAGGTAAGCAAGTTGACAGCTACATTGACCAGAAAGTAACTTTTTTCTTTTCCCAAATGTTATAATCCATCGCAAGTTGACAGGATCTATTACAGCTCTGTGTGAAAATGTAAAAATATATTTCTGATCTATCTGGAGGGGCACAGATGGGAAACATGACATGGACCAGCAGCTGACTAGTTGGAGGCACATTCACATCAAGATAATAATGCAATTGCAGATATTTTTGACATATTTAGAGCAAGTGAAGGGTTCAGACAATGAGAAAGGAAACTGTGCTCAATTCATTGAAGTTATTTCCCCTGGAAATGGAGGATAAAACATATCTCTCATCCTATATGACAGGAAAAGTGTAATAATGTCACAATTAGACCACTGAGAAAATTCAAACCATTCCCAATATCTTCTGCTTTAAAAAAGACTCACTAGGATAGGAATATTTCTAATCACGTTTGGGCACCTATTGTAATGTAGGACTTATAGGGAACTAGTCTGCTTGAGAACTTTGGTGAGGTCTTATGGGTGATAGGAACATCAGTTCAGGTACTTGGTTATCTGCAAAAGAGCCTTAGAATAACAGAAAGTGTCATGTTTTAGCAAGTGTGGGGGCAATACAAAATTTCAGCACAGTGTTATTTATGGTTACTCAAAGGTAAATCCCATTGTATCCAGTACAGGACATGCTTCAAGATATGTACACAGCACTGCAGCCTGGATGTAGAACAGGGTTCTTAAATTTTGAAGCAAAAGTTTCTCGTCAAGTCCCAAGAAACGTTTTTACATTACATTACATTACATTGTGTGTATCAGGCATGGGAAAACTTTTTGATGCATTGTGTTTTAAAATTTGACAAATGGGCTGGATCAGTGACAGATAAATGGAGAGTGTTTCTGTGAACTAATTGAAAAAATATAAATAAATTCCTACACACACTGCACATATCTTATTCATAATGCAAAAAGAAAAGAAAGAACAATACAATATGTTAAAATGGAGAACAATTTTAACCAACACAAACTTAATAGTATTTCAGTGGAAGGCCTTGGGAGCTATCCAGTCCAACTCCCTTCAGGATGCAGGAAAAACACAATCAAAGCACACCCAACAGAGACTAAATGTAGGCCAAATTTATCAACATTTTTGTAATTGCATTGGTGTGCATGTACTAATCTGTGGTAGCCTACATAGATCCTATGCTTTAATAAAAAATAGTTCATATATATCTATTGGTTCCAGTTCTGCTGACATTTGTAATAATAACAATAGTAATAGAAGCAATCCCAGGGGCCATCCAGGCCAGCCCCTTTCTGCCACGCAAGAAAATCACAATCAAAGCACCTCCAACACATGGCCATGCAGCAATAATAATAATAACAACAACAACAATAATAATAATAATAATAATAATAATAATAATAGAAACACAGAAACCCCAAGAAACATCCATGCAAGGAAAGCACAATCAAAGCACCCTCTGAGCAGTGGGAAGGAAATGGAAGCAAGAAGGAAGGCAAGGATCTGGGTAGCAAGGAAGGCAAGGGAAATGGTTTTTGGCATCAAGGAAGTGGGGGGAAAGGCTTTTGAAGCAAAGGGGGTGAGGGAGAAAGGGCTTGGGCAGCAAGGGAGGGGGAAGGAGAGGATCAGGAAAGCTTAGAGGGGGAGGGAGGGGGAAGAGGAAAGCATGGAGCCCCAAGGGCTCCACTGAGCACACTTCAAGAACTGCTGGTGTAGAATATCACCTAACCCAGACCAGCACTAGACATTGTTGCTGCTGCTGCTGCCTTCAAACCATTCCTGATTGATAATAATCTCTATCATGGAGGGGGGGGGGGTTGGCAAGAATTATTCAAAGGGGGCTTACCATGGCCTTCTTCATGTAGAATTAAAAGTAGTGGAGGGGTATACATAGGGGTACCCAATAAGGTACCACTTAGATGTATTGGTTACAACTCCCATCAACTCTTAACATGGATGATGAAAGTTATTGTTTGTTGAATACAGGGTTGTTGAATACAGGATTGAGGCCAGAACCATCCTCAAGTTAAAATTCTTCTATTCTGTCCTGATAGCATTTGGACAGTTTCAGAGACAGCAATTCTCAAGTCCTGTCACCAGCTAACTAGTGAATCAGAGTAAAGAAACATGTGATGTGATGGCATTGCCCCATCATAAAATATGCCTATATGTGTTGCACAGAAAATGGATTTTGGCATGGGGCTAGCAGGTTTCCATCCAATTTAAGATCTTTCTCAACCAGAGTCTTTAAAAATGGCTTGCTTCTAGGAAATGTGCATTATCGTTTGTAATGAATAAAAAATGAAACAAATGGGTCACATTCAGTTCCATTTTCATCTATAACTCCATAAATGTTATCTAGAAGTAATACACATAAATTGGGTTCATTTTCACCACTCTATACATTTTCAACAATCAATGCACAGCTTAAAACTACATTGTTCTTTAAAATGTGCATCTTTGTTTAAAGAGCCTGAACTTTACAATGTCTCCTCCTTAAAAAGAAATGTGTGACTCACCAAATTGTTTCTATGGTATTTTCTCTCAGATCAGACAAGAAAGAACCTGGAGAAATGTGTCTGATTCTAGTATTTGTCTTCTAATGAATGAAAAATGAAAACAAATGATCACATTTGGTTCAGTTTTCATCTGTAAGTGGTTCTAAATGGGTATAAAGAGGGTTCATCTGCCTAGCTCCAGTCTTAACATTTCTTTAGTTGTACCAGTCTCCATGGAGCCAATTTCAACAGCTGTTTACTGGTGGATGTCACTTGTTTCTTTCAGATTCTCTTGCTCAAGGTCTTGCACCCCCAGGTGCCATTGGTTTATAATTTCCATTATCTCTGATAATAGCCCAGATTTACTAGGTATCACAGGGGCACAATCCAGAAACCTCAATTTGGGGACTACTACACCAAATCAGGGGTGGAGAGATGGTGCCTCTCCAGATGTTGTTCCGACTCCAGCTCCCATATGGCCTAACTGGTGTGGTAGTCCAATGGCTTCAGGAGGGCTACAGTTGTCATTCTTCTGTAGATGGCTTGGTTTTTCAACATTTTAGGGATTGGGTGGGAAATGGCAGCTGCCACACAAATATGGGGGCCTCAATCGAGTTGAAATAAAATTAGGAAAATGGATGGAAAAAAGAAAAAAATGAGTAATGTTATGAAGGAAAGTTTAATTGAATGCACACAGAAAGATGTGATTTTTTAAAAACATATGAGTAATGAAATAAATGAGGTCTTCAATAATGGAGATGAATGTAATTATATATTGGAGGAGCTTGGATAGTCATCATTGCTTCTCTTTA